CGTGGGAGTGGTCGAAAACATTCATCAGAATATTCAGTATTATCATGACTTTTAGGCAGTGTTTACAAAATGGGTCAAGATTCATGAATTATGCAACTTGCCTGTACTCGTCAAAAAACTGACGCATGTGCACAACCGGTGTTCCCCGTTTAACACAGACGGAATCAGCGGTGGGGGATAGTCATTATCGATCCCACTCCTTCCAGATGGGCGCCGCTTTGACGGCCTTTACCATGGGGGTCCCCTTTGAGGACATTCAGCGAATGGGCCGATGGCGTTCAGACGCCCTTAAATGTTACCTGCGTCCCTTGCCACTATCCAATGTGCCTGGGGTTTAGCAAAGCTTTTCTCTGTTTTCATTTACTCATATACATGCACCAGCATCGAGTTCTCGATGTGCGTGGGTTGTTTGCGATTCCCTGATCCGATGGGCTACTTTTGACATGGCCGTTCCTATTCAAGTAATATGGAAAGGGAAGGGTGGAGCGCGAATTCACGAGTTACCAGACCTGGTCGGGCGGTTGGTTGGGAATCCTGCAGTAATTATTGTTCATCTAGGTACGAATGACTTGGTGCAGTTTAATTTTTTCGGTCTCCGACAGGTGATAGTGATTGCAATCGCACACTTATGCGAACAATTTTCAGACGCCGTCATTATTTGGTCCACAATACTGCCCCACCTTTTTTTTATTATGGTGCACTGTCACAACAGTCCCTGGAGCGGGTTCGCCGCGCAGCTAACAAATGGGCTATATCACAATGCCGACAACGTGGGGTCAGAGTGCTTGACCATCCACAGTTCACTTGGTCGGCGGCAACCCTCTTCAGGAGGGACGGGGTCCATCTGTCATCCGAGGGTTGTGGTATCTTTCGGGAAAACCTGCGCAGCTGCATTTTGTCCATGTTATAAACTTCCCTGTCGGAGAGGCGTTCATCGGTGTTCTGTTCTTTTTCCGTTGGTCGCGGTTCCCACGAGTGGCAGTTTTTTTTATACAGAATAAGAATGGAACACCATTTGTTTGTAAAAAAAAATGATAAGCTACCTGGTCTATACATCAATTAAATCTTGAGCTTTGTAAATTACAATGTCTAAAGCGCCATGATGCCACACGGCATGACAATGGGGAGTTGAACATTATAATTCAATTTATTAATACCAGTACACATGTGTATCTTATTAATAGCCTGTGACGTTGCACACGGGCTACACCCAGCCGCATGTTCCAGCGGTGGGAAATTTAGATTGCATGATACTGTAAGTTACTGACTTATTACAGTTCTTAAAACAAGTACCGGGTTACGAGAAGTTTCTTCCTTCATGTTATGCATGAAAAACTAGCGTTAGTAAATATACTCTTGCGTTCTTTAGGTTGATAGTACCTAATTATCATATTGTGCCTGGTATTAAATAAATCGAGAGCCGTTTTGGACGTTCTCGACTCAGTGATCGTGGGTATCATTGACATTCTTGACTAACGCCCTTAAGTTTTGGCGTTTACTTGGAACTTATGCCTTGGGGAGTTGTCGTGGTCATGAGTATCACGTTTGTACATGGTTCAGCTCAATGTGCATGGTTTTATGCGAGGTGGCCGCAGGTGCTGCCTCGTGTACCGGTTTGCCCAATATACGTATGATGGTATTCCGGTGGAGTTTGTGAATAAATCCATATCGAAGCTGAGGCACACACACACACTCAAAATGGTTTGCCCGCTTTCCTTCTTTTTGAGTTTGAGTATAACATCAATGTATCGCCGGTACATTAATGGCTGCACGCCCTGATACTGGGTCAGCATCTGCTCCTCGATGTTGCCAACAAACGGACATGCATAACTTGGTCCCATTCGTGTGTCCATAGCCACACCACTGATCTGAATGTAGTGCTCACCGTTGAACGCGAAGTTGTTCAACGTGAGCACCAATTCAGCCAGACGGAGCAGAGTGCCGGTAGGAGGATCTTGAGTCTGCCAGAAATATAGACAGTGTTTGAGCGCAGCCAAACCACCGAGTGGGTGTAAAGCGATTTCACATCCACGGTAAAAAGAAAGTTGGGTGAACCATTTTGTCTATATATCATACTGCTTGTTGCCATAAATCGACGAATCAGAATTGAGAATTCAAGTTTGCCTGAACATAAAGTTATACATGACACTGTTCATTGCCATGGATCGACCAGTCAGGATTGAGAATTCAAGTTTGCCTGAATATAAATAATAAGAGCAACCAACTACAATTTTCTTTTTTCAAGATGTATTTTTTTTTTGCGTTGGGGAGATGTTAATTTATATAACGGGTTTTGCCCTTACCCAGCGTATGTATTAATAAACACTGTTTGCTCAGTGCTTGTCCGAGAGCTTGCTCTTGAGAGAGAGCTTGGCCAAAGTGAACTTAAGGACATATCCGGGCCTTAGCTACAAATAAATTGAATGAACGATAAATAACTTACATGCAATAATGAATGTGTTGTTTTGACCATTTGTTGACCATTTACAGAGATGCAAACTATCAGCCTTGCCTGTACTCTAATGGATTTTAAGCGAAACTGTACCACAAGCGATATTAGCGCCACAATAACTCTCAGCAAAATATCTAGTTGATTTCTAGATATTACCATTTTGATTATTGAGATTGGAGAAACTCTCTATATAAATACATGTATTTATGAATACGCAGGCCATATTTATAATATGCCATGCAAGCTGAAACGTTTTACATGGATTTTTACAAGCCTGTTGATGGCGCCAGTTTACACCATGTAGTAGACGTACTTCAGCTCAGGAGTTTTCCTACATATGCACCGTGAGGTCCCGTAGCAGTCTTTGTCAGACCTGCTGTAGCAACCTAATCCTTGACAGCAGTTGTGCTTTCTATTCTTTATGGTGCACGTTTTTCCATATCCATTGCACTGATGAAAGAAAACAAAGAATGGTACTTTTATAAATTATCATTGACGAATTTTAAATCTTCTTAGTGAGTATAATGAGGACGTCCTCAAGTTCAATACTATAAAGGTCATTACGGTTCCATAAATAAATCCTGAGTCCTCTTCCAAAAAGAGCCGGTGTGCTGAAAAGTGGGTGAGCTCTGACTTCGTTTTTAGGAAGTGAAGGGCATCTTTGTTTTTTAATCAATTTAAATTAATTCGAAGTAAACTGACATATCCCTCCCGTGATTTACAACGTAGAGAACAAAATGTTTACCCTCCGGGAAAACAGGGGGAAGACTTCGGGAGTTTCTTAATGCAGGCCAAAGCATTTCATTCATGTAACCATTTCCAAGGAATGAGGCTTTTGAGTGTTGAGGCTTTTACACGCTTTGGAAACGAAAGACATTGACATGCATGTCGTCCCCCCAAACCACCCCTTTTCTCATTACATTAAAAATACAAATGTTCCCCATTTGGGGGTTGAGTGTAGAAATACACGAGAATCCCCCTCCCCATAACGCCCCTATGTCAACATTTAGGGTAGCTGCACGTTGGAAGACGAATTTTGCTCTGTTTTTTGTGTGTGTTTGTGTGTTTTTTGTTTGTTTGTTGTTTGTTTGTTGGGGTGTTTGTTTGTTTGTTTGTTTGTTTGTTTTTGTCTGTCTGTCTGTCGGGCTGTTTGATCCAAACAATTGAATATTTCACCTCTATATACTTCGCAGTGAAAAGATGACCTGGCAGCTACATTATGCACATAAATCAAATGCCAGACTTTTGCCTCTTGTGGGATTCCAAGCCATTTCTAATGGTCCCTTTTGAGGTCGCTTCGCAAGTCCGGCACAAACATCAATGCAAAGGCGAAACGGGTGTTTTTCAATTATCAGTGCAGGGCTGTCCGTAAAGAATGTACATGTTCATCAAGTTGTGAATTTCTCTTCCTCCTCTAAATTAACCACTGCCAAATTATTTAACGGCAACTAACTGAAAGCAAATTTTTACTCAGAACATTCATATATTCTTGTGGGGTATTTCCTTTGTCCTTGTGCGCTAAAAAACAGCGTGAAGCGCAAGTTTCAAAATCACTGTTTGAATCAGAATATCTTTCTAGGGTTCGACAAAATTTCCCTTGGGTAAAATATTTTAATTTGCGGTGGATAATTTGGAAAGTCCTAATTATTTCGTGAAATTCTTGTAGGGTACCATTACGTTACCCCCAGGGCAACGAATGTTCTTTGTGGGATACTTCCAATACCCCACAAGGCACCATACAAACAAGCATCCGTTCATGCTAGCCCCCACGTAGGGCTGTAGTGGTTCCCTTTTACAAGCTGTCTCTTATCTGTCGCCATCACAGCCCTACTTCAGTGTCTTTATTGCTTGAAACCCAAACTCCATGATTGTCACAAACTTTGAATCCTAATATCTTCCGAAATGAGAATGACTCGACGAATTTACTTACACCGGCGTTTTCCTCAGAGTTTGGACTTTTATATGAGCACCCTTTCCAAAACCTTATATTTTCCGAAGTATGGCGCCATGAAAACCCGGCCTGTGATTTTGTATGCCGACCGTGGGCGGCGTCATTTTAAAAAACGATTAGTGCGCCGGAAGTCAAGGCACCCGACAGGTGTTAGTTGCTTAGTTGTTTCGCGCGCACTTTGCTAGTGTACATGTACAGTACGCCCACAGCACATGTGTGGAGCATTAGCACAGTGACATGCATATTAATGTTATTCAAATTTAATTTCACCAGTTCCTTGTTCGTCTGTCACGCAAGGTGACGGGGAACCAGTTTTGTGTGGTACAACCTATATCAGAGCGCCTGTCGGATGCCTTGAAATCCGACGGAAGAAGCACTGCTTTCGTTTTTCAAAATGGCGCCACCCACGGTCAGCATATAAATATCACAGGCCAGGTTCTCAATGCGTCATACATCGGAAAATATCCGGTTTGGGAAAGCTTTACGATGCTCTATAAAAGTCTAAACTCTGGGGAATACGCCGGTGTTAGTAAAATTGTCTAGTGATTCTCATTTCGGAAGATATTAGGATTCAAAGTTTGTGACAATCTTGCAGTTTGGATTCCAGGCATTTAAGACATGCCTTGAAGTTGGGCTGTACGTGGTGGCGACAGAAAAGACACAGACTGTAAAAGAAAGCCATCACAGCCCTAGTGTAGGGCTACCCTTCATGCGTACCGCATATACGTTCTTGATTTATCATGCTCAGTGTAGTTCACCAGTATCACTGGTGTCACTGTGTACCGTTCTAACAACCCTAGATGTCTTGTTTCCTGCAGCTTTTATTGGATGGAACTTATTTGGCCAGCGAGCCGTGGTCACAACTGCTTATGTACGGCACGTGCTTTAGGCAGACTGATTCGCGCTGTACCTTTCCCAAGAATATTGCCAAAGAGATTTTAGTGGTCACCTGCATGACACGTATGAGCAAGTAATGTGGACCACAGGCAGAGTTGTATATAGAGAAAGAAGCGCAGTCTCCAGATTTTGGAGACAAAAATTATTGCAGTACAGCCTAAAGCGGTTGTGTACTTACTGTCTGTGTAAACACTGACGCATAATCCATTCCACCATATTAGTTGCTAGTTTGTTTCCCTGCCCAAAGATTCCCTGACGACTCTTGATAAAAAAAACTTAGGTCAGGTATCGCCCACGGATATAAATAGATATGACGTGTGGCTCGGTGGTCACAACTTGAAAGCCCAGTGCGTGTTTTCGATTTCAGTGGTATACCGTGTATACCACTATATATTGTGCATTCCGTTTGGCATCGATTGGCCAAGGCGACCTTCGATTTCAGTGTAAAGTCACATATTGTAGGATCAACAGCTGCCATAAGGATACAGGAATTTACGTTCAAAAGCTAGCCTACCTAACCGGATGGATATTACTCGAACAGCAACGTACGGTACCATCCGAACATGCCAAATATATACGGGACGACTTCGGAATATTTCAGTTATTTCTGGAAAACTGGAGGAATTCCTCCAGTCATGGTCACGTGGACATTGGGTGAAACCGGACCCTTGATTCGTCGAGTAGTCAGAATCATCGGGTTTGGTATCCAGACACACGTGTCTCTCTGTAAACAGCCATAGCGACAGGGACTGTGCCACCTACAATCTCTACACACATATAGTTATAATGTCGAGCTGATGCAATTGATAAAGACAGTGAAATGTGGCGGATAAGGCTTTAATTACGGCGGTGCACTATGCATGGGGTATGGGGACAGACCCAAAAGAAGCAACAGGGCCCGGGGAGGGGTAAAATAGTTAAGAGAGACAGAGGATATTCTGGTACATGACTCCTTTCCTCCCAAAGCGTGTAAAATGCCACCGAGTGTAGCCTCATCTCAAAAGACCCGAAAAAATTGTAGGAAGAAATCGTCAGTTTTTCCCCCTCCCCCAAGTTATTCCAAAACAAAGTTTCGCCCTTATAGTTGCAGCAGTGTTGAATTTTAAGCCTTCATCAGCGTGGCTATACTGTACCGCCCAAGAAATTCCGAAAAGGAGGCAAGTTGACCAATACAATGCTTACTCAAATTTGAAATGATTTTTGTGCATATATTACACTGCCAAAACTGAGGTGCTGAAAATAACACTTTTTGTGTTATCAGACGACTGTTGCAAAATGTGTTACTTTTTAACACTTCTGTTGTTACTTGATACACCTACAAGTGTTATCATCCACTGGAGAGTGTTAAAAGTAAAAACAATATTGTTGAAATAATACCCAAATGTAATTCCGGTGAAAAGTCTTGGCATGTTCCTCAGGTAACACTGATTTAACACCCCGGTTTTGCAGTGTACTTTCAAACAAAGGATCAGTGCTGAGTTTAGAAAAGTAAGTTTAAAAAGACACATTAAAAAACAAATGAGTATACGACAGTCACAAAACATTTCAAGTTGTCTGGTTAGCAGTTTTCCCGCAAAGATGTACTGCAGTACGGCAACTATGGTCTTTCCAATTTACGTCAATTTAACAAACGAAAAACTTGGGCAAAGCTAAAATTCCGCGTTTTTCATACTGTTAATGACCCTCCGTAAGAGGCATTAATTGCTTCTGGATACATGTATATGTTAATAAATAAGCCACACATCATTCTTCATTCGGATCTTATATCTCCAAATTTCAGGACCAAACGTATCTCAGCCAAGTGCCATGCACATGCATATAAAGTGCAAAATGATATACATGTAAACTGATGACATTATTCTGCTAACACACAATGCTATACATTCAACTGAGTGCTTGTTAATAACACACAAACAGAGGCGTATATTTGTGTCGGAATTGGGGAGGGGGATTGTGGGGGATGACTTGCCAGCCAGGGAAGTTTGAAGATGAACATCTGTAATTATGTATTACACTCCTTCATAACCTTGTATCAAAGCAGCGCTACTGCATATATTGTGATTGGTGGGAAGTCCGGAAGATTCTTCACAATCCGCCGTTTTCATCACGAAAAAATTGGGGGATGATTCAATAGCCCATACCCCCAGGGAAAAGTGGGAATATATACCTCCCCATCCCTGGAATTTACGCCCATGCATAGCAAATCCACATCAAATAAACAGCAATGTTACAGACACTTTGAAGCATGCGAGATCTGTCTCAGTGAAATGAATGAATGGGATGGTGAAATGATGAGATTGAAAGCATGAGTTTCTCAGGAAGATAACCCACCACGTATGGTTTAATGAACTGTTTCATCATTGACCTAACACAGTTAGCTTGGCTTATGCCGCGAGGTGATGGGGTTTCGCAGGTTCGTTTGATTGTCTCTAAGTCGGATCTTCGGATAGGCTTGTGAAACAGAAATAGTAATACGGTATATGGTTAGGATACAGAAAACAAAATCTTTACTGGTTTTGAAGAAATTTAGGGCCACTTTCAAAAAAAAAAAAGAAAACTGTTACAAATTTATCACTGATAGGTTTGCCTGGGTGCGCCTGTC